TCCTTAGATGGGAAAGAGCTGATTATTGATTTCCTTAAAATAACCCACCGTACACTGGGACTCTTTCATTTCCCTGACCTCTTTTTCTTCGCTCTAGTCCCGATCCCATCTATTTATTTTTTAAGCGCTCCCCCCTCAGCCCTTTAATTATTCCTGCTGCTACCCTGTGCTATCCCATTCTAGGTTCTTTCTATGCACCTTAAATCACACAGCACTTAACCAGCCACATTCTTATTCTCCGTAATCAGGGCCTTCTTGGTTTTATTAAAACACAAAGTAGAGCATTGTCTGACCCGACACAGCGTAGCACCTGCGAACTGAAATGGTCTCTTGAGTGTTGAGTTGCAGTGGGTTGCGGAGACTAAGGAAGTTCAGTCTTAAAAGACTCAAGAAATTGGGAGGGGGCGGATTTACTGCCTTGGCACCACTATCTTGATGCCAATCAGGTACTTTCAGAAGCAAAGACAGGATTACTGGTTCAAAGTCAAGCCGAAATGCCCTTTCCTCAGGCTGTGCCTAAGGAACTGGGCTCCACCCACACCGTCCAGATACCAGCCTGGTTTAAAGCAGTATGGGTTCTGAGGAGAGGGACAGTATTTTGCCATCTCTTTATGTATTGTGGAAGATATAAAGCAGCATAAGAAGTGGCCTCTGCCTTTAATAAACTTGCACTGAGGCAAGGAGAAAATCACAATGGCAGTATAGAGTATAATACAAGACGGCATATACTAAATACGAGTCAAATGTCAATAATTGTTCCCAGCCCTGAAGCATTGGAGCTGGGGGGAATTGGGAGGCAAGGGGGGGGGGGCAGCTGTCAGTTTCATCAGGAGGTCAAACCTGAGTGAAGCCAGGGAGGCTGGGTGGGGTTGGCATCGGCAGGGGGTGAGAGGAGGTGTCCATCCGGCAGGAGGCGGGAGGGCCAGGTTGACAGGAGTGAAGCGCTGGTGTTCAGGAAGAGTGACGTGAACATTTGGAAGATGTGGGGCCTTATAAGCAAGTCAAAGCTTTGGCAGAGCGGAGCAGGCAAGCCACCTGGCAAAAGGGGCCTCTTAGTTGGAGGTGTGCAGGGGAGGCTGGGCAGGAGAGCCCTTCAGGAAGGTTAACAGACAACCCCGCCTCCCGCTAACTGCTTCCTGTTGCTTCTGATAAAAATAGCAATGCATTGTGCCTTCCTCTGTTTTCTCCAGGTTCAGCTTATAGACGCCCATGTACCTCTCATGGAGGCCGTCTCCTCGGTGCCTAAAAAGCAAAGATGCATGGCCTAGATCTTTCTGCAGCTTGAAAAGGGGAAGGGGATTGGAGAGAGTATAGATCTTAATAAAATTAACCTATGGGCCCAAAATGTGCACACATGTGGGCCCATCTGAGATAGGTTTGCCTGGGGTAAGCAAGGTCCTAGGGAGCACGGCCAGCCTTCATGTCTCCCTGGTGCATGTTTTCAGCCCCTGTGCCCGGTCCCTCTCATTACTGATGTGCTCTGTGCCAGCCTGGGAGACTTCAGCACCTGTGTGTGTGTTGTGGGCCAAATCTCAGAAGGCAAAAAAAAAAAGAAAAAGAAAAAAAGAGGTACATTGAGAGAGATTATTCTGGGTTACATCTTTATTGTTTTAGCTGGTTCTAATTAATATTGTGTGAACATGAAGTTTTACTAGTGTCAAAAACACACTTAGTACATAGTCAAAGGTTTTATTAATAAAAGAGGTGCCAAAATGATTCCCTTCCTACCAATTCTCTCTACTTACTATTGTAAATTCAATCTTTGAATTAAATACGAGCCTTGCTTTGGGGGCCCATTTTTGCCATCTGGTTGGCCTTCGAAGTATCTTCTTTCCCAGAAATGATTGTTGATTTTTATGGACATTTAGAAGTTAATGTGAAAAACGAGTTCAATATGTTTTTTGAGGGTTAGTGTTTGCTTCCAGGATGATACATTAGCAAATAGTTATTTCTGGTGGGAAGCTGCCCCCTCATGTTATTGTTTATGAGTCTCTGTTCGGCTATTTTGAGCTTGGGCTGCAGTGGCTCATTCTTTTGAGCTCCAGTGCATGATACTTTTAAACATACTGCTCTGGCTTTCCGAGCCATGACTGATTTAGTGACGCCCTGCACTGCGGTGGAATATTTGATGGTTTGGGAAGACACTATATCAAAGTCTACCTTTGTACTGTTTATGAAGAAAGGGCTTGAGAAAATAAATAGGATAACATCTTCGATGACATAAAATACTTTTACAGTTTGGTTCGTGTACAGGATGGAGGACTAGGATGGGACGTGTTTGGCAGCCACAGTGCCAGTCCACCAGTGGGTGTTTCAAGAGTTTCATAACCTGCGTCTGCCCCACCCGCCGCTGCAGTGCCTGGCGGCTGGGAGGCGACGGGAAGGTGCTGGCCCAGGCAGGGTGGAGCAAGGTTCTGACCTGGGTGTGCGACAAGTGGTACTTCTAGAGCACAGGGTCCTTACCATCGGAAACAAACAGGAAGAACCCAGGTTGCAGCCATGTGGGGCCTCCAGGTCCCCAGAGCAAGTTCAGAAGGACTCCTTTTGCCCTGTGATGGGTTACCAGCTGGCAGAGAGCCAGATCAAAACCGGTGCTTGCTCTAGAAAGGAGGCATCTGAGGCTCCTGGCCCCCAAATTAAAGTTCTTGTGCTGCTCAAAACTGAGTTGAAAACATTGATCACGTTTATGTCAATTTCATAAAACCACGTGAACTAAAAAGGCTGCATAGAGGTACCCTAAGGAAGCAACAAATGCAAGAAATCTCTAAAACTTTAGAATTTATTTTGAAGCTGTCGCAATCTGTATTAGCATAAAGACTACGCTGTTGCTGCCACATCTTATAGAGGAAGATTTAACTTAACATAAGTTATTAGAGGAGAACTTAAAGGGAATTACTAGTAGTCCAAATGCATTATTTTTTTACCTCTTGTGACTTTGAGAAATACCAAAGTTTGGAAGAGCAAATGAGTCATCCTAATTACTGATGTCGCTGAAGGTTGAAATCCAGGGGAACCCATCAAGTTTGAGGCTCGCTTCCACTTAATTCAAAAAGTGTGTCCCCAGTATTTCTTTAGATACCATGGTTGAAGTTTCCTGAAGAAGAATCAAAAGAAGTACAGAGGAGGACCCTTGCCCATAAAGTGCTTTGTCATCTTGTGGGAAAATAAGATAGGCACATAGAAGAATATTGAAGGAAAATCTCTAAGGTATTCTGTAAAATGCACACCCCCTGCCCCGTTGTGTTTATTGTTGTGGAAGGGATTTGCAGTCAGAATGAGGTTCGTCCGTATGTGCACTCTCTCAACCCACAGGACCCATTTGGTAAGGACGAGGCAGGTGTGAGAGCAGCGGGGACACCGGCAGGTTAGAGAAGGCAGCAGGTGGTGAATGAGCTGTTTTCAGATAATGTGATCACAGGAGTATTTATAGGACGGTCCTGTTTAGGCGTGGTGGACTCTTGGGTTAATTGATTGTAAATTGCAAAGAAGGAGGTCATAGCTGTGGAGTATTGATCCGGGCAAAGACTGATGAATCCACAGTGGAAATCTTGTTTGTAGGTTCTATGTCACCCTGACTATCTTTAATAGTTTGCAATTAGTGCCCAGGCTGGTGTGGTCGCTCAGGTGGTTGGAGCATCATCCCAGAGACCAAAAGGTTGCAGGTTCGATTCCTGGTGGGAGCACATACCCAAGTTGTGGGTTCAAGCCCCAGTCAGGGCACATGCAAGAGGCCACCAATCGATATTTCTTTCTTGTATTGATGTTTCTCTCTCCTTCTCTCTCTACAAGCAATGAAAAAAAAATGTCCTCAGGTGAGGATTAAAAAAACTTTGCAATTAGTAAAGACTGGTAACTGAGGGTGGCGAGTAGTTGCCCCAGACAGACTCTTACTGTAATCAGCACTAGTTCATCTAGATGCATTAATGAGTCATGGGAACTAGAGGAATCCTGGAAGAGTTCTAGTAGGTCCTTAGGCAAGAAGTTTCGTGATTGAACTCACCTCCTCCATACCCCAACTAGTGTCTATTTCAGCTGCTTGCAGGAATCAGCAAGAAGAATTCTGGATTCTTGGCCGAAGGCCCTTCATTGTATGGGCATCATGCTACCTTGGGAATTGGAGGGTTAAGATCGGAGGTTTCCAGCGTTGGCCGTTGCTTCCAGTCCTTTGGCAGTGGACAACTTGATTCTCAGGCCTTGCTTTTGGACAAGTTCCTGTGGCCTCCTCTTGTCTGAACATGTTGACCAGGCCCAAGCCCCTGGCGTCCTGGGACCTGCTTCTTTGCCCCATCTGCATAATCCACAGCTGTGCGGTGTTGAAAGAGACCACCGAAGTTCAGACACAGCAAAGCATCTTCTTTTGCATGTACTAAAGTCCTGAACAATAGTTTTATTTTGGGCAAGTTCCCTTTTCTTTTCTCTTCTGCCTGTTCCTTTTTATTATCTCTTGTTCTACAATATATAAATAATTGGCTTATCCTATTTACTGCACCGAGAGAATGCTATGGGAAAGTATTTCCAGAGTGTGAAAAAATAGACGCTGGATATTTCAACTACTGCTTTTCATAGAGTGGGAATTTATTACTCAGCTCCGTAACAATCTTGGCTCAAACAAAGCAGTTGTGTGGGCAAGCAGTGGGTACCTTTCCTAAATAGCACTGCCAGGGACAGCTTTGTTCATATTTGAGACAGCATGCACCAAGGGTATCTTTCCATCAAAGACTGTTTGATTATCTCTGAATCTTAGACATAACACAAAAGTCATTGAGACCTGGCCAATGGATTTTACTGGTATGAGATATTGCATAGCTCCCCAAGGATAGGAAACTAAAAGGGAGGGAGGCAAGAGAGAGATCAGAGCCCAACAATAAATAGCTCTTTGTACCGGTCCCCACCCCTAAGCCCAAACCACTGAGATCGCAGAGTAAGTGAACAGCATGCAGAGGGCAAGTGCCCCAGCAGCCGAACAGTCAATGACCAGATGTGCACTTGCCTTTCCACAGTGTGCGGCTGCGACCTGGCACAAGGCGGCTTCTTCATCAAGAACGGGGAGTACCTCTGCACCCTGGACTACCAGAGGATGTACGGGACACGCTGCCATGGCTGCGGAGAGTTCGTGGAAGGAGAGGTGGTGACTGCCCTGGGCAAGACCTACCACCCCAACTGCTTTGCTTGCACCATCTGCAAGTAAGTGAGGCGCTCCCGGCAGAAGTGCCGGGTTCTGCTGCAGACGCTTGGCGTAGGCACCCTGAGTCTTGAGTTGTGCTTAGTCTTAAAACATCCTTTTTCCGATGTGTCCCTAGAATTCTTTATCTTTCTACTGTGTTATCAGTCTTAGTCAAAAAAAGTAATTTGTGATGTCCTCTACTAAATAATAGGACTCATTCGGAGTGGCTTAAAACCAAGCCTGAAAGCAGCTCTAGGCCTCAAACCATTTTGAGCAATGAAACATTGGGACGAGATGATGTAACTGATCAGAAAGATAAAATTTATTTGGAGGTAGATGTTTTTACGTGCATGTGTGTACGTGTAAAGTAGTCTCATTGACTTTACAGCGAGAGTGGGAAACTATGCTCCAAATTAGACCTGATACTTGTTTTTTGTAAATAAAATTGTATTGGAACACAGCCACACCCATTTATGAATTGTCTATGGCTGCTTTCAAACTACAGTGATGGAGTTGAGCAGTTGTGACAAAACCATATGACCCACAAAGTGTAAAAAAGAGTCTCTGAGCTGGTATCTTAGGAGAAAAGTTTGCCAGCCCCTGCTCCCTGATCGTCTGCCATTGACAAGGGTAAATCTTAACTTCACAAACCAACTTGATTAAAATAATCTGTCAGAGAGAAAGAAACTAGGATGTGTGAGTGAGAAAATCAGCTTTTATTGTTTTGCTGTGAGTGCTGAGCATTGTAGAACTTAAGGTGGATTTGATTCCTATAATAACGAGATTCACAAGAAGGGTCAACTACTTTCTTGATCTGTTCTCATTGGACAGCCCTGGGCCTATCATAATGGTGGTGGTGATGTTCCATGTAGTCTAAAAACTACAGTTCAGAGAAGGTGTTTTGTTTTGTTTCTAAGCATTTCATGTTTGTAAGCCAGAAATACGTAAATCTAGAGGGGTAAATTTAATTTTATACAATTAACAAGATAATACTGATAGATGTGTATCATAATAAGAGTTAGCTGCAATATTCATAATAACATTATTTTAATAATTTTATAATGATTAGCCTATTTCTCAATACATTTCTTTTTTTAAAAAAAATCATAATTAAAGTTTTTGGATCAATGAGCTGAAAATGTTTATGCATCCAATCAAAGGCCAAGTTTCCTCGTCCCCCTCCCTTCCCAGGTGGCAACCACAGGCCACTTGACAGCCCGGGCTGGCGTGCAGGAGCCCCGAGCTCCATGCAGCCCGGCCTCCCAGGCTGACTTGAGACTTGTGCAAATTAACTTTTCTGAGGCGGTTGCCTCATCTGTAACACGAGAGGCTATGGACTCAATATGAGTGATTCACCAGACCTGGATGATCACTGGGATCTCCTGATGGAGGGTCTCTTTAAAAATATCCATGTCTAGTCTTCCAAAAGACCCAAACCAAAACAAAGCCCCTCTCATGCTTATTAAGCTGTTTCTGGAGGGTTCCCACATATGATGTGACTCAGCCAGGTTGGAAGGCCCTGGTCCAGGTAAACTCTAAGAGCCTTCCTGATCCTGGCCCTGAGAGATCATTGTTTTAGTTGGTGAGGATGGATGGGCATTTATGAGCAGTAGCCCAGGCTCTGAGCTTTTGAGCCAGCAAAGAGGTGCTCGCTATTGCGGCTGCTACTGCTGAATGACAGGATTTCTACCTGAGTCTACGAATGCGTGCACACAGAATTTAAATTCACCCTCCTAGTAAATCTGTGAAGTCAATCAGGAATTAGTATCCCTGTTTATGAGTGCCTCTGAGTCTCAGAGTTTAAGGGACTTTCCCAGCCTAGGGTTGCAAGGCTGAGATTTGAACTCAAGTTCCTCTACATCCAGTTCTCTTTCTATTACAAACATTCATGCAAACAACAGACCAAAGTGAACCCATGTGGGCAGAGGACATAGAGAAGGGAGAAACTACCTAAACAGCGTCATCTATGAAATGTTAAAATTTAAAAGTTCGAGACCTGGTCCCACGTTGAGAACCGGACTCCGGCTTGGCCCATAGTAGATCCATATAGGGTCCAAGTTTCAATATATAAGCTTACATCAGAGGCTGGGCGCAGACTAGGGTGGGGCAAGAGAGGTTCCTCGGGGTGCAATTTAAAGGGGTGCCCACCCTCAGGGTTTTGCAGCGCAGGGTCAGCTCCGGACAGTTAGGGCCTCCGTAAATGTTGTGCCCAAGACGTTTCCCTGGCCTCACGCTGCTCCCGGCCTGACAGGGGCAATGAACCTGTGCTTGCGCTATGGATCTTTAGCTCTGATGCCCTCCTCACTGAGCAGTCTGGGGGCTCGTTCAGGTTTATTGAGTGGGATACACTTGTCCCCGCTGGCATCCAGCAGAGTGGGACTTTGATTATTAAAGACGGAGCAAGTTCTGAGTTGGTGGGCATCACCCGCCCCTGCCGGTGACCTGGCCTCCCTAGAGGATCAATCCAGGCAAGTCACGTGGGCCTCTCAGGGCCTCATCCGAGCAACGGAAAGGAACGCTGCACCTCCTCAGCTCAGCATTTCTGGAATTTGGGGGTGTAAGCACTTACAACTCTCCTCGATGACTGGCACCAGCGTTATTTGTGGAGCTGTCTTAGGTCCATATTTACTACCTGTATGGGTATTACAGTTAATTACCACTGCAAGGCAGCCTGAAGCAGGGACGGCAGCTGTGAACATGAAACTCCTGTCAAGAAGCTGACTTTGTCCTGAAACAATTGCTCTGACTCAGGCGGGTTGGGATGCTTTGCTTGGGAGTTTTCCATTTCCAACTGACATAATCACACATTTGAAAACTCAGGTCGATGAAGATTATTGGCAAATTGGCCAAGTGCAAGTGCAAGTGAGTAGGCATGGAAACTGTCACATGGCTACTAATTAATGACTTTTAAAAAAATGCTGTCTGCCTGCTGAGCTGGAGAAGATGATAACATACATACAGAAGGCAGTACTTTTTGCAAAATGCGTTGTTACTAATGAATGTCTTGTGTGAAAGGAAATTCTCTTTTTGAAGAGAAGCTGATAGTAATTTTTAAGCAGATATTTACAGCATTGTCACATTTCTCCAGAAGAGACTGGGCTGCACCCAGCACTTTGTTACATTCACATCCCCCGTTCAGATGTCCCGGATAAAGTCTAATTCAGCCTAATTTATCACATAGGTCTTGGGAACTGAAAGAGTTAATGCTTGACTTATAACCAGTTCTCTTGGGAGGGGCCTTAAGCCTGAATAAGAATTTATGGCATTTAAAATGTTTCTTCATGAATGACTTTCCATTTGGAAAATGGAAAATTTTACTGTGTGTGCCCTGCTGAGTGACTTGTTGGAACATCCCCCAGCTGGCAGGCAGGGGCGAACCAATCCCCTTTTACTCTCGGGATGCCCGTGGAAGCAGTGCGTTCTCCCTTCTCAAACCGAGGCACGTTTGTTTGCTTGGACCATATCCAGCTGGCTGGCTTGGTGAAGGGGGCATTTCAGACATTTTGGCTGGTGCTCCTCCAAGAAGTGAATTGGCACCAAGGGCAGCAGGCAGAAGGAATAAGGGACAGGAATGAAATTTCTGGAATAACCTGCAGAGCGATGTCTTTCTGTCTCCAGGCGTCCCTTTCCACCCGGAGACCGTGTCACGTTCAATGGGAGAGACTGCCTTTGTCAACTCTGTGCCCAGCCGATGTCGTCCAGCCCTAAGGAAGCCTCCTGCTCCAGCAGTAAGTGCCCAGCTCCCTGTTGACATCAGTCCCTCATAGCCCACAGGCAGCTCAGTTAGCCGGGGCCAAGAGTAATACTGTCTAAGGCATTTTCAGTTGTAAAACATGGAGCTGCGATTAAAACCCATGCAATGAAGAGCATCTCCCTTATTGCAAAAAGACATAAATGGAATTGGACACTACTCTGTGCCTTTTGACAGTACATGAGAGACAAAGAATTATACAACTTTACATTAGAAATGCCATCTCTAGCCATGGAGGTTGAGACGTGAGAGCGTTGGGTGGTGATGTGATTGTCATCTCTGTGTATTAAAAAACTGTCCCTGCTATGCCTAGGACACATGGAATGATTTATACTTTCCCTTAAGTGATTCTTTATTCTTTCTTCCCCTTAAATAGTCTTTATTCACCTGGAAGGTCTCTGATACTTAGCCTTTGGACAGGTAATTTGCTGAATACTTACAATGTGTATTGTTCACACTAGTGGCGCAGGTGCGGACAGAGCCACGTCAGCATCCTCGAGAGGCTTATTTTCTGGTGGCAGGGGAGCGATAAGAAATGCAAACACAAAAATATCTAATAGGCAGAGGAAATTAAAGCAGGAGGAGGAAGGCCAAAGGGGCTGCGTTCGTAGGGCTCAGTCCAGGTGACACCTGAGGAGAGAGCCGGAAAAAGCGGCAACACACGATATGGTGGCATTTGTCATTCTTCGTGAAGGTCTTGTCTGACCTGTGGGAGTCCAAAGAGAGCCATCCTCCCCCAAATCAAAACAGTAGTAGTCAATTGCACTATTTCTTTCAGGAAATAACACTGAGTAGGCCAGTTAACCTTTCGATGAGATGTATCTGACCGCTGGGCACCAAACAAGGACACTCTACCTCCACCTCTTTCCTGAGGCGTTAGAAAGCAAGCAAGAGGTTTGCCTTGGTTTTGGCGGGTATTGCCAGTCCTTGGGAGACCTGGAGCAAAAACAGTTATGCCCTGCTGCTCTGAGCCCCTGCAAATGAGATAAGCTACTTCCACTCCAGAGGAATTCCGCACAATTTGTGACAATGATTCCACATTTTCCTGTTAAAGTAGAAGAATCCTGATACCTGTTAAAAATAGGCATGTTCTGACCAAAGCATTTGCATAGAAATTAGATTTTGACCATGGGGAGGGAAGAAGAAAATAAATGTTAGGGCATGTTATTCAATAAGACTGGACCCTTAGCATGAGGACTTATATGTCCTGCTGACAAATAATAGTAGCCTGAATAGGACGATGACTGAAAAGTGCTGTAGTCTGAGGCCCCTGGTAGGATTTCGAGGCCTTCACTGTCCTTACCTTCTTGACCCCAAGCAGGTCATCCCAGGGTAGGGCGGCAGCTGTAAAAGGGTGTCATGCCCCAGACCATTGGCTGTGTCCTCTGATCCCATAGGGTCCTTTAGTGCAACTATCTTTCTTGATAGGTGAGGAAATAGAGGCCCATGGGCACACTCAAGCACCCAATAGTAAAGGCAGGTTAGAGGCAGTCTTTGGGCTCCTGGTTTGGAGCTCTCTCTTGTTTCGTCTAATATTACTCATTGTTTGGATTCGTAAATCAAAAGTGGGAGAGAGATATATACATATATTTTTTATATTTATATTGATACATTTATATATGTATATTTTTAAAGAACTGGTAGGAAAGTCAACCTGCACCATTTATTTTTTTTAAGGGTTTATTTATTTATTTTCAGAGAGAGGAGAAGGGAGGGAGAAAGAAAGGAAGAGAAACATCAATCTGTTGCCTCTTGCACACCCCCAGCTGGGGACCTGGCCCACAACCTAGGTGTGTGCCCTGACAGGGAATCGAACAAGTGACCTTTCTGCTTGCAGGGGGCACTCAGTCCACTGAGCCACACCAGCCAGGGTGAAAATGGGGTATTTTCTAAGGCTTTTAGTCCTCTCCATCCTTGCAATTTGGGATCCCATTTCCTAGTCACAGCTCTACCACCATGGTTATTCCAATTTTTATTAAACATTTTTTTCTTTTCTATTTTTATATGGCATATAGGTTATGTACATAAAAAGGAATAAAAATTTTCACTGTAAAAATGTATCATACTCAAATCCATTACATCTCCAATGGCAGATATAATACTTACTGCTTATGAGCAAACTGTTGGAACAAATCATATTTTCTCCTTTGCTCCCAATGGATAAAATCCCAATTCTGAGCAACTGCCTTGATCAGTTCATTGTTATTTTCAACAAGTACTTGTCTATTTAGATAAGTACTCAAATAGCATTTATGGGGCATGTGGGTGTGGGCGTCTGCCAAAAAGAGAGCTCGGCAATGTGGATACACACATGCAAAATACCCAGATGAGGTAGGCACAGGGACACTCGAGCAGGGGAGTTTTCAGCAAGTTTCTGAAATTTACTGGAGCATCATTAGAAAACATTTGGCTGTTATTTGTAACTCTTGAAGAACTGCCTTGTACAGTGCATGAAAACTATCCTGATGTGACTGATTCTTTTCTTTTTTTAACTTGGCAAAGCTTTCTGAATAAAAGTAAAAAAATGAGACTCTTTTTTGATAATGTTCACAGAGTCGATGAACTATAACAGAGAGCCAGCCTCTTTTTCCTTTGAAATGTTCTTTGAAAAATGAGTTTGCTCTCTGAACCCCAGTTTTATTTCACATACTGTGGCTGGTTTTCCATAATCACCGAATAGCAGGAGAAGACAGCATGAGAGGGAGAGCGGAAGTGAGGAATGGCCAACAGAAGCCAAGGAACTTATACAAAATAGTCTCAGTTCAAGCTTCCTAGACAGAGGTGCAGTTTCTCTGTCTCCTGCTCAGGGGCTGCCTCGTCTGCATGGCTCTCATTTAGAGACAACCCCCGCTGAAGTGCCGGTGACATCAGGGACACTCGGCTATGCTTCCTTCCACCTGACAATAATTCTCCTAACCTTTATATCTATTTATTTTTCTTTACCAAACTCCCATAGCGGTCACTGTGTAGCAGGCGCTGTGTAACTGGTCTAAAATTTTTAACTCATTTAGCCCTCATCAGTATACACTGGCATGAAAACTTTCCCCTTTTTACAAATGAAGAAACAAAAGGTCACGGAGGTTAAATAAATTGCACAAGATTACACAGACACTGAGCGGCAAGGCTGGGACGCAGACCCCAGCTGTCTGGCTCCAGAAGCCGTCCCCAGTGTTGATTTGACACTGTAGGCATCGCTATCTGATTTTCAAAGGTGGGGGTCCCAAGCCTCAGGGCGGTGACGTGACTGGTTGGCACATTATCCACGTGTCCTGCCCCCAAAGGCAGTGCACTTTGTAGCTGCCACAGTTGCCTCCCTGTTAGAGCAAGATTCCGTGAATGGAAACCGTCAGGAAGTCTTTCACAGAAACAAGCAGCTTCAATTAAGGATAATTGCCCCTGAATTGATTAAAACTTGCTGTCTAATGCAATTTGGATTCCATAAGCAATAACCATTTTTTAACATAGAGATGATAGTAAGTTATGTTACAGGGTTGTGATGAACATTAATTGGATTGCTTTTCTTATTAATAAAAAAAAAACAAAACCCAGAGGCCCTGGCTGGGTAGCTCAGTTGGTTAGATAGTCATCCCAACACCCTAAGGTTGTGGGTTTGATCTCCACTCAGGGCACCTACAAGAAGCACCCAAGGAGGCTGTGGACGGGTGGAACAACAGATGGATGTTTCTCTCTACCTTCCCCTCTCTCTCTAAAAATCAATGAATAAAACTTTAAAAAAATTAATTGCTTATGTCTAGCTGACCCCTACTTTGGAAATAAAATGTATGTCCAGGAGGCATTATGCTCTCCTAGAAGGTTACATACATCCTCTAAAGCTTAATCCAACTCCTTCCTCCATGTATTTGCCTATAAGGGGGGGACCGGATTCCCACGGGTTAAGAAACCATGTGCGGGGGAGTCTGTGTGTGACAACCCAGTGTTGGGACTCGGGTTTGGGTTGTCATTCCCTACGCGACCCCTACCTATTTCAGGCACCTGAGGAGGAGCGGGCTGCTGTCTACAATTACCCTTTCCATGCCAAAGGGTGTCTGACTGGTGTCTGACCGCGTGCGGGCTGGCCGGGCCGACGAAGGGACACCCACACGCCAATGCCTCCCCACCCGTCTTCCCCTCCCGCCCTGCACGGCGTGGCCATTGTGCTTGTTGCCGCTGGAACTCCTAGAGGTATCAGGGCAAATTTCAGTCATTTCAGGGAGAGTCACGTGCATGTGTTCAAAAGAGAAGAAGAATTTTCCACTTATTTTCCTTTTCTATTTGATGCGATAGCTTTTAACATTTGCAAGATAATTTTTATTTAATCTTTATGTTCTCTCTCTCTCTCTCAAAAAAAAGAAATCATTTGCCAGTTGAGTGGGACTCATCTGCCAAGGCACCTAACAATAAACAGGTGGAGGAGTAATGGTCTGAACTGGCATCTGACCGCCTGGGTCAGGTCCTTGCTCTACCTCTGACTAGCGGTCTCTTTACCGCTCCATCCTCCATTTCTTCATCTGTAAAACGAGAGGGTGATAGGTACCTACCCTGTAGGATTAAATGAGTAAATGCATGCAAGTGCTGCATACTCACAAAACAAGAACTTACTGTTCAGGCATTCCTTTCTGAATTTTTCCGTAGACAGTCCCTACTTTTTGTGGCTCTGCTCTTTTCTCTCTCCTGTTGATTATAACTGTCTTTATCTGCTCACCTGATAATTGTCTGCCAATATAAAAGCCAGTGAAGGTAGGAACACATCCACCTACACAGCCCATGGATGGTTGGAGTTTGATTTCTGTGACATGTTTTATGGCAGGGTCTCCAAAAACAGATCTGCCCCTCCCTCTTTAGACACAGCCATCCTGTAGGACAGGGTGGCAGAAGGGGAGCTGGTAGGGAACCGCTACGGAGCATGTGCTCCTGGCAGGTTGATGGCTGGTTCTAATTCCCCTTCCCCAACTTCCGGGCTGTGTGGCGTTAAGAACT